TTATTCCATGGTGATCCAATAGTACACAGGTGATTACTACAACTTTTTTGTATCTGTGGATGTTTTCTTTGTTACCGATTATGTGATCAATTTTTTAGAAGGTTCCATGAGATGCTGAGAAGAAGGTATATTCTTTTCTGTTTGGGTGGAATGTTCTATAGATGTCTGTTAAGTCCATTTGGTTCATTACATCTGTTAGTTCTCTTATTTCTCTGTTGAATTCCTGTCTGGTTGACCTGTCCATTGGTGAGAGAGGAGTGTTGAAATCTCCTACTATTAAAGTGTGGGATTTGATATGTGCTTTGAGTTCTAGTAATGTTTCTTTTACATATGTGGGTGCTTTTATATCAGGGGTATAGATATTCAGGATTGAGACTTCCTCCTGATGAATTGTTCCTGTTATGAGTATAAAGTATCCATCTCCATTTCTTCTGATTGATTTTAGTTTGAAATCAATTTTGTTAGATATTAGTATAGCCACACCCGCTTATTTCTTTGGTCTCTTTGATTGGAAAACCTTTTTCCAACCTTTAACTCTAAGGTTGTGTCTGTCTTTGAGGTTGAGGTGTGTTTCTTATCAACAGCAGAATGTTGGATCCAGTTTTCATATCCATTCTCTTAACCTGTGCCTTTTTATAGGTGAATTGAGTCCATTGGTATTAAGTGATATTATTGACCAGTGGTTGTTAACTCTGGTTATTTTTTTTTTTTTGGTGTTAGTGTTTGTGTGTTTCCCTTCTTTGAGTTGTGCTGGTGGAGGGTTCTCAGATGCCTGTGCTATTATGTGTGTTGTTGGCTATTTTGGTTTGTGGTTTTCCTTCTAGTATTTTCTGTAAGGTTGGGTTTGTGGCTACATATTATTTACATCTGTTTTCGTCCTGGAATATTTTGTTTTCTCCATCGATGGTGAATGCAAGCTTTGCTGGGTATAGTAGTCTGGGCTTGCATCCATGGTCTCTTAGTGTCTGCAGCACATATATCCAAGACCTTCTGGCTTTCATGGTTTCCATTGAGAAGTCAGGTGTAATTCTGATAGATTTCCCTTTATATGTTACTTGACCTTTTTCCTTTGCAGCTTTTAATATTCTTTCTATATTCTGTATGTTTTGTGTTTTGATTATTATATGGTGAGGGGATTTTTTTTTGATCCAGTCTATTTGGTGTTCTGTAAGCTTCTTGTACCTTCATAGTAATATCCTTCTTTAGGTTGGGAAAGTTTTCCTCTATAATTTTTTGAATATATTTTCTGGGCCTTTGAGCTGTAATTCTTCTCCTTCTTCAACCCCTATTATTCTTAGGTTTGGTCTTTTCATGGTGTCCCAGATTTCCTGGATGTTTTGAGTTAAGAATTTGTTGGATTTGTTATTTCTTTAATCAATGAGTTTATTTCCTCTATAGTATCTTCAGCATCTAAGATTCTTTCTTATATATCCTGTATTCTTATGGTTATACTTGTCTCTGTAGTTCCTGTTCGTTTACCCAGATTTTCCATATCCTGTCTTCCCTTGATTTGTGTTTTCTTCATTGCCTCCATTTCATTTTTCAACTCTTGAACTTTTCCCATTACCTGTTTGATTGCTGTTTATTAGTTTTCTTGGGTATCTTTGAAAGATTTATTCATTTCTTCTACCTTTTTGTTTGTCTTCTCCATTTCTTTAAAGCAGTTTTTCACATTCTGTTTAAGGTCCTCTATTATTTTCATAATGTTACATTTAAAGTCAATTTCTTCTACTTCTTCTGAAATAGAGTGTTCAAGTCTTCTTGTTGTGTGATCCCTGGACTCTGGTGATATCATGTTGCCTTTCAGGTTGTTGGAGGAATTCTTGCATTGGCACCTGTTCATCTCTTACTTCAAATGCAGCCAGGAGAGTCTTAGCATCTTGGTCCAATCTTTGCTGTGACTGACTCTCTGGGTGGATCTCCTCAGTGCAGGAGCAGGAAATGTTCCTGGGCCAAGGACCTCGCAGACAATAGGCTTGGGGGAGGCAGGGTCATGTGGAACAAAGAAGCCCCTGCAGCAGGAGCTGGAGGGTCCCTGTGCTCCTTTCTTGGACCATCTGCCCCACCCCCAGATGGCACACACTCACCAGTCTGGATGGATCTCCTCAGCATAGTAAGAGGGACTCCTGAAAGTCCAAAGACCCCACAGACAAAAGCAAGGATTAATGTTTTTACTGGCAACTGCTATGCTTTTTTTTAATGTTTCATGTGCATGGGGTTCTAAAGTAAAATGTTCAGCCACAGAAATCCACCCTGACCCTGAATTCAGGGTCAGGGAAGAAACATACCTGGGACCTGAAACCAGAACCAATAAAAGAAACACAACATGGCCCTGAAACCAGAGCCAGTGAAAGGAACACACAGTAGCAATGAACAAAGAACCAGTTTTTAAAAATATAACTTTGCCCTGAAACAAAAACCAAATAATTTTACTCTGAGCCTGAAAATAGAGCGAAAGAAAAACACTTTGGTCCTGAAAACAGACCAGTAAAAGAAACCCACATTGGCCCTGAAACTAGTGCCAAATCTGTCCCTGACCAACTGAGCATAAAATCAACCAATTTCTGAGCAGAAAACCAACCAATACATGGGCACAAAAACTAGTCACTGAGTTTGTTCAAGCTCAAGGGGATCAAAATCTGGCCAATTCTCTATCTGAAAATCTCCCTGGAAAACTGCCTCTAAGAAATTCTATATCGGCCCTGTGCCTGTTCAGTTGGCAGCTGCCCTATTCCATGCTGGCAGAGCAGCCACTCTCCTGGATTCCTCCTTCCCAAATAAACCTCTTGAAGGAGTTTTGGGGTGAAATTCTTCTTTCCCTGCAGTGGCGTAGAATCTTTGCTTTCAAATGCATTTTGCATAGTGGGGCAGAGAAGCAATGGACCTCTTTGCTAGGAAAATCCCTTAGGGAAGTGGAGCATAAGTACCAACTTTTGGCAGGCACTGTAGAAGACTTTTTACATTTACATTTTACTTTTACATTTCGGCAGTGGTTCCTCCCTTAGCAGAGTGAAGCAGAAGAAGTAATAGCTGGGCCAGAGTTGAGAAGAAGGGGCCCTCACTTCTGGGAAACTCCCTTAGGGGAGGGGAGCAGAGTTCAGTTGTAAGTTCTCTGGGAGAGGAAAAGGATTTTCACATCCTGTGGGGAGACTAACATCCACCAGAACCCAGCTTCAGGTACAGTCTGACTTTCTGACAAGTCAGGATACCTTTACCTGACAGTTGCAGATGGGTTATGCCCCCTGCTATGGCACATATATGAGAATCCCTTAGCCCCCAAAACTTCAGAGCTACAAGCCAGGAGACTTCACCTGGGACAGACATCAATAGGAGAAGCCTTGCATCCTTTCTGAAAGTTACCCCACACTGTTATCCTGAACACCCTATCAGCTGTGAAAGAGGATAAAATTAAGTTCTGTTTACATCACTCCAACATAAAACGAGTTACAGTAGGACAAGCCAGCAAAGACAAAAACAAAAGGTGTATATTATGACTTCATCCACAGGACCCAATAAAGCTACAATTCATTTCTATCTGACTTTCCTGTTCTCTATAATGATATTGATAGCCAACAACCAACATGTGTCAATCCCAATGTTATGGGGGAACAATGCTGCTTGTGTGCTACCTACAGGGGAGTGATCAGGCACAGTCTGAGCATAGTCAGACCAAAAAAAAAAAAAAAAAAAAAAAAAAAAAAAAAAAAAAAAAAAAAAAAAAAGAAGGGAAAGGAAACAAACCCAATCAGTTTCATGGGGCTGGTTTGAATCCCTTTTCAAGTGGTCACCAGGGATCACTACCCTGATAACAGGAATAGTATAATTCTAGTAATCATGCCATGTGCAACCTCCCTGCTAAACTCTATCTCCTGCTTCATTCAAAAGAGGATAATGCAGTTAAGATCCTAGTCCTGTGGGTTTAGTACGGCCACTTAAAGGACTTGGATTTCTGACATCAATGATTTGATGACCCACTTGAAGAGGGGGAAATGTTAGCTATAGTAGCGTGAATTCCATTTTTTTCTAGGCCATTCTTCCCTGAGCTGATACACACAATTTTTGAGGCTGAAGTGAAACCCCAAACTCCTTGAGCAGAAGTCTAGAATAAAGTTATACCATGAACATTCCTCCCCTTCTGATTGGTTGGCCCCCACACTGGGGCCAAAAATAAACCACAGGACTACCTGATAGGTTGAAAGTGTACCACCATGGAAATTACCCAACTGTTTCTCCGAATATTACATTATGATACTAAGGAGCTGTCTCTTTCTGATTTTCTCCTTTAAATCTGACTGATTCTCCCTAAGGGATCTACATACTGAAACCTGCTCCTTGATTTATCAGTTTTCTTTCTTTCTTTCTTTCTTTCTTTCTTTCTTTCTTTCTTTCTTTATTTATTTATTTATTTATTTATTTATTTATTTATTAAAGATTTCTGTCTCTTCCCCACCGCTGCCTCCCCTTTCCCTCCCCCTTCCCAAATCAAGTCCCCCTCCCTCGTTAGCCCAAAGAGCAATCAGGGTTCCCTGCCCTGTGGGAAGTCCAAGGACCACCCACCTCCATCCAGGTCTAGTAAGGTGAGCATCCACAAAACTGCCTAGGCTCCCACAAGACCAATAGGTACAGTAGGCTCAAAAACCCATTGCCATTGTGACAAAGAGGATGATAAACCTGATTGTCTTTTAAAGCGAGTTTGCAGCTCACATTGATGAATTATAAGTTTTGTTTTTGAATCCTTTGCAAGACAAAGAGTCCAGCTGAAACACATGGTGATAATCACACTGGTAGTTAATGTGATCGTTCTATGTAAACTCAAGTGTTAAATGAGTGCATTGTCTCTGACGAGTACGCAGAACATATCCAGTGTGACAACCTTCACTTATAAAATGTTAAAGAAGCATATGCCTGGAATGCAGACCCTCTCACCATGCTGCTTGTGGTCACTCTGCAGTCTTAAAGAGGTCAGCAACTTCCCAGAACATACATGTAATCTTGCTTACCTGAATCCCCTTCTTGGGTTCTTCATAATACCTTTTCTTCAACTCCTGTATCTTCTGCATAAAAAGATGATATCCCCCTGGTTTAGAATAAACTCCCTGTTTCATATCATCTTCTAGTGGGCTGAAAATATCTTTAAGCAGTGCTAAGCAGTGATCTGAGGATTCTTGCACATTCTTCTTAAGGAATTCCTCTAGCTTTTTTTCTAAACTGGTCTTTGATATAAGAACAAAAAGAAATTATTAAGAAGAGAAAGAAGCCTGAGTTTGTCAGATTTTTACTGGCATAAATTTTGCTCCTTGAATGTAGAATTCAGAGCAGAGATTTACACTTTTAGAGATAAACTGCTTTTTTTTTTCAGTCTGGGCCAGAGATTCCACATGAAATAAATGTGATTCAATGTCATTTGCCTCTAATAGTTTACGCTTTTTTTTTCAATTTTGGTTTGGATATTGAATTAATCAACTGACACTGGGCATGAAGCTTGATCAGAAACACTAATTACTTCTCTGTACTTAACAAAGGAGGAATGTTACTGGCTTATATGGAAAGGACAGATATTTTACAACTTTGAGTCTTTGATAATCCATTTTCTCCTATTAGCGTGATTAAAAAAGGGCATCTGTAACTACTTTAAAATCTAGAAACAGCTGCCTTCCTCCAGCACCGAATTCATTTTCGCATAGCATTTTGCCTTCAAAAATCTACTTCCAGGTGACTTTGAGAGGAAAATTACCTCTAGTTGTGTTAGGAACACTTGATTGATGTCTTTGAAGGAATTTTGCATGAAAATCTTGAATGGCTTCTTTCTCACTGGCCCTGTGCACATCAGTCAGCTCCTGGAGAGTCTCTGGGCAGCTGCAATTTCTGGCTCATCTGCTGGACATAGTGAGCAATGGCCTTTTGCACTGCAGCTGCATTCTCTGTCTGGGACAAAGCCAGGACAGCATTCTCCATGCAGAGCTGACTCCCACTGCTGATGGCATTGACACAGGTTATCACCAAGCTCTCTAATCCTACAACCAGAAAACAGTTGACAACATTTGGTACAGATGGATGAAGACAACACTAATACATGTAATTCTGGATATGCCCTTCCTTGATGCCTTAAACCAATAGTATCCTTAGTTTCATTTGGAAGAATGACAGACAGGATAATCTTAGTCTCTACCTAACACTGATGGGATTAAAACTTCTCTGTACAAAGATCTTCTCATGAGGTGTGTGGGAACCCAAAGGCTAAGCATGTTAGATGAAGATTATATGTTTCTTTGTCTAGGCAATGTTTGTGTCAATTTTAATGCAAGCTCTATGAGAAAGTGCTCCATACCTTTTTCATGTTTGACTGTGTTATTAGCCCTGTCCATAGTAAGCATTTCATTCCAATTCAGGAGTAATACCTGCCCTCCATTCAGTACTTTTTCATCCAGTTGACAAGAATAAATGTTTTCATTAGTATAAATAAACATTCCATATATGATAATATGACAATAACTAGTTTTGTGTGGATTTTATTGCACTTATATTTCAATGTTAAGAGCCATACTTGTGCGACCCAGCAAGCTACTAGCCCCATTCCACCCCCAAACTTGCATATCCCCCTACAACCTTGATGTAACTCTGAGAAACAGCTTGCTATAATACACAGAGGGCCAGAAGGTGAGTTAGCAGCCACATGACAGGACACTCCACCCTCTAGGACCACCACAGTGGGGCAAAACCCCTGGCCCCTTTCCCAACTGCCTTGGCTTCTCTAGCCAGCCAGCAGGAGAGTTTCTTGCAGGAGGCTGCCCCAAATAGCCAGTCCCATCCACCGGACTCTGCAAGCTACTAGCTGCCCCCAAACTTGTCTAACCTGCTGCAACCTCAGTGGAACTCTGAAACACAGCTTGCTACAGTGCAAGGAGGGCCAAAATAGAGGACCAATAGAGGAAGTCTAAAGCATAAGCTGTGACTCCACAGAGTGGACAAAGAGAGTGAACCAGAAGAGAAAACAAAGAGAGCAGGCTAAGAGAGACCTCGGTAGCTCCCAGAGACACAGATATTGAACTACAGAGCAAACCAAGAACAATTCCCAAAGAGTCAGAAAGCCACAGCAAAGATCTGACCAAGAAGCAAAGATACTGGAGCATCAGCTGAAGGAAGAGCTGGGTAGAGACCAGTTCAGGAGTATGTCTAACAACCTAAAAAGCAACATGGTAAAAACAGAAGCCAATGGTCACACAAGAGGAAGACTTGGTTATCCTAACCTAGAAGAAGCAGAAGAATAAAAGGTCTGATCTCCAAAATATATAAAGAACTCAAGAAACTAGACTGTAAAAGGCTAATCAACCCAATTATAAAATGGGGCACTGAGCTGAACAGAGATCTCTCAACAGAAGAAGTTCAAATGGCCAAAAGACACCTAAGGTCATGCTCAACTTCCTTAGCCATCAGGGAAATGCAAATCAAGACAACTTTAAGATACCATCTTACACCTGTCAGAATGGCTAAAATCAAAAACACCAATGATAACCTTTGCTGGAGAGGTTGTGGAGAAAGGGGTACACTCATCCATTGCTGGTGGGAATGCAAACTTGTGCAACCACTCTGGAAAGCAGTGTGGCGGTTTCTCAGAAAATTCGGGATCAACCTACCCATGGACCCAGCAATACCACTCTTGGGAATATACCCAAGAGAGGCCTTATCATACAACAAAAATATATGCTCTACTATGTTCATAGCAGCATTGTTTGTAATAGCCAGAACCTGGAAACAACCTAGATGCCCTTCAATTGAAGAATGGATGAAGAAAATATGGAATATATACATATTAGAGTACTACTCAGCAGTAAAAAACAAGGACTTCTTGAAGTTTGCAGGCAAATGGATGGAAATAGAAAACACTATCCTGAGTGAGGTAAGCCAGACCCAAAAAGAGGAACATGGGATGTACTCACTCATATTTGGTTTCTACCCATAAATAAAGGACATTGAGCCTATAATTCGGGTTCTTATAGAAGCTAAATAAGGAGAACCCCCCCCCCAAAAAAACATATAGGCATCCTCCTGAATATTAACCTTCATCAGGCGATGAAAGGAGACAGAGACAGAGACAGAGACCCACATTGGAGCACCGGACTGAAATCTCAAGGTCCAAATCAGGCGCAGAAGGAGAGAGAGCACGAGCAAGGAACTCAGGACCGCGAGGAGTGCACCCACACACTGAGACAATGGGGATGTTCTATCGGAACTCACCAAGGCCAGCTGGCCTGGGTCTGAAAAAGCCTGGGTTAAAACCGTTCTCGCTGAACATAGCAGACAATGAGGACTACTGAGACCTCAAGAACAATGGCAATGGGTTTTTGATCCTACTGCACGTATTGGCTTTGTGGGAGCCTAGGCAGTTTGGATGCTCACCTTACTAGGCCTGGATGGAGGTGGGTGGTCCTTGGACTTCCCACAGGGCAGAGAACCCTGATTGCTCTTTGGGCTGACGAGGGAGGAGGACTTGATTGGGGGAGGGGGAGGGAAAGGGGAGGCGGCGGTGGGGAAGAGACAGAAATCTTTAATAAATAAATAAAAATAAAAGAAAAAAGAAAAGACCAAACCTAAGAACAATAGGGATAGAAGAAGGAGAAAAACTCTAACTCAAAGGCATGAAACTATATTCAACAAAATACAAAAAGAAGAAACCTTTCCGAACCTAAAGAAAACTATCCCTATGAAGGTACAAGAAACACACTGCAACCTCAAAGACAGGCATTACCTCAGATAAAGGTGTGGGAAAAGGTTTTCCAATCAAATGAACCTAAGGAACAAGTGGATGCAGCTATCCTAATATTTAACAAAATAGATTTCAAACTAAAATCAATTAGAAGAGATGGAAAAGGACACATTATACTCATCACAGGAACAATTGATCAAGATGAAATCTCAATCCTGAACATCTATGCCCCTAATATGAGCACCCACATATGAAAAAGAAACATTACTAAAGCTTAAATCACACATCAAATCTTACACACTAATATCAGGAAAGTTCAACACTCCACTCTTGCCAATGGACCTTTTAACACTGATACCAAAGCCCCAAGAATGCCCCCTTTATTGTGTTCAGGGGCAGATTATATAGAGATAGCCATGCCCCAGCCAAACCCACCAGAAACCACTCTCCTGCCACCAGGAACTCCTGAAGGTCTCGTGCTCAGAGCAGCTGTAGGCACTCAGATCAGGGGAAAACAAGTTGTTTACAAGAAATTCAGGATCTGGGGTCTCACTGCTCCCAACAAAAATGTACAGAAGTGAGGGGTTAGAAGGAGGGGTTTCTGGACTGAGTTTAGCTGGAGTCTACTCTTAATCTTTTACAAAATATTGAGTATCAAGAGTTTTGTACTGAATGATGGGTGGATGATCCCATTCATTTCCTGCTTGTCAGAGTTTCTGTCTGCCTGTCAGTTCTAGCCTTTTCTTTGACTAGAGCAGGGCAGAAGCATCTATTTTCTTCTCTGGAAACATGCTTCAACTCTTGTCTCCTGTGCAAAAGTTAGCAAAAGAAATTACAGGCAAAAAGACAAGACCAGAGGGAGGAAGGCTGGGCAACAATCCTCTGATTGCACCACCTATCACAGCTGATAAAGGGGAAGCTGAAGCAGAATTAATATTTGTGTTGGTCCACTATCTCCTTCAATGCTTATTGAATTGAACAGGGTCTCAATTCTGCCTTCTTTCTGCTGGGTGGGAGTGATGGATTGAGGTTTGGGTATGGCCCCTCTTTTTGTAACAGCATGTCCATGGGAAACAGTTATAAAGCTTTATTAGCATGCTACAGAGCAAAATCAAAGGAGGTTGAACAACATATTAAAATTAGCATTTTTGATTATATATAGTGTCATATGTATACTGACATATCAAGACCCTTGAGAGCTAGTGCTTATTCCTTTCAGTTACAGACTGACGAAGCCGAGAATGAAAAGTGCCTAAGCACATTTGCCCATTTGTGCTCTGATGACTGACATAGCACAATTAGGGGCATGGGTCAGCCTGAGAGAATGCATCATTAGTACACCGAAGAGCCTAAAAAGAAACCCAGCTGAACGCGCTTACAAATGCTAATGACTCACCCCAAATGCAGTGATTGTGGACAGGCTGGGATGTTAAGAGCCAGAGCATAGTTGGCCCCTTTAAGTAGTCATTCATTGTCCATTTCTGTGTGTGATGAAATATCCTTGTGAGATAAGCCCTTTTGGAATATGAACAGACTCTCTGACTTCCACCAACCCCAAATCTAAGAGTGTCCTCTTGATAGCATTTGAGGTCTATAGCAGAGATTCCCCACCTTGTTGTAGCCTGCTCACCTAAGGTTTCGACTAATGTATTTGAGAAGTGTCTTGATATATGACTTATTTTCTTCTATTACTATATAAAACTTCATGAAATTGTTGTCACACTGGGACATGGAATGGGGGATAAGCTAAATGTGTGTTCCCTAGTCAAGGCCATCGCTCATGCCAGGGTTGGCCTTTTGGTGATGCAATTGCCTTTAAGCCATTCACTCACAGGTTCACTCATCCGGACTTTGATGGGACCACTTCTCAAAATGTCATGGGCACTTTATCTTAGTTACAGTTGCTATTGCTGTGAAGAGACACCATGACCACGGTAACTCTTCTAAAGGAAAACATTCAATTTTTTCTAAGCTGGCTTACAGTATCAGAAGTTCAGTCCATTATCATCGTGGTGCAACATCGTGGCGTGCAGAAATGATACTGGGGAAATAACCAAGTGTTCTGTATCTTAGCTTGCAGGCAACAGGAAGTGGTCTGAGATACTGGGCATGGCTTGAGCATATATGAGACCTCAAAGTCCACCTCCACAGTGACACACACTTCTTCAAATAAGACTGCACCTGCTCTAATAAAGCTATACCTAATGGTGCCACATTCTTTTTTTAAAAAAAAGATTTGTTTATTTATTTATTTATTTATTTATTTATTATGTACACAGTATTCAGCCTCCATGTATGCCTGCAGGCCAG